AAGGGATTACGTGAACCTTGACTCTGACTATACCACTACTACAATTCTTGAGCCATTTATATAAAAGCTGTTTCCAAGCAGATGGATTTTCCACTGGCAGTTTATCATGGTCCACAAAGATAGTGATGAATATCCTAGATGCTAGTCAGGCTTATGGCAAATCCTATACAAGTCTCATTTTTCAACTAATTTCTGCATATAAATGTAAAATATAGACAAATAAAATATTAAGTCTATATAAATTTAAATAAAACTTGTTAACCTCCCATAGCAACATTCTGTTTCTTATGATTGCTGAAAAACTTAGTTGAGTTTAATAAATTCCAAATGAGGGCAGCCCAGGTAGCTCAGCAGTTTAGCGCCTGCCTTCAGCCCAGGGCATGATCCTGGAGACCTGGGATCAAGTCCCACGTCGGGCTCCCTGGGGGGAGCCTGCTTCTCCCTCTGCCTGCGTCTCTGCCTCTCTCTCTGTGTCTCTCATGAATAAATAAATCTTTAAAAAATAAATAAATAAATAAATAAATTCCAAATGATGAAATTTTAGCTGTTAGGTATAGATTTTTGCTACATAAAATGGAAAATTAGAAATGTAATCAGTTGAATTTTCCAAGTTCTTAATATAATTGCAGGATAGCTTGACTCTCTCCCTCCACTTCTTCCTTTGCCTGATTTTCTACATGCTCTGCCTCTAAATACACTCTCCCCACCCCCTTAAATACACTCTTGTGCAAAACATCATCCTTTATAGATGCTTTTTATCAGGTCAGTAAACTTATTAATGACTTCCTCAAATTTCTGGGAAGATTCACAAAACATCCTTCCTCCTCTTTATGGTTTCCTTTTTATGATTATCAACTTAAAAACAATTAGGGACACTTACTGTAAAAGAGTAGTTTCACAACTAATGAGAATCTGTCATTAGGATACCTCGTGTTTCTCCAAATACTCTGATGTGCAATGTTATCAAAAGCAATCACTACCTGTAATCCAAATATTAGTGATTTCAAGAATAAAAGTCAGCTATGAAGCACATAAGTTTCTAAAAAAGATCCTGTTGTTTATGCAAACTCTCCCAAGTAAAACAACTTTTGAAAGTCACTAGAAAAAGTTTTCAAAGCTACCAGAAGAGTAAAGGCTACAGAAAAGCTACAAGGCTCTACTCAAACTTGTCTTTAGCATTCAAGAACTCTATAGCATGGGCTCCTTAATAAGTCATCATTGTCATCCAAATAGGAAAATCAGAATGCTAATACACTAGGGTACATCTGACACCTATAAAAGCACTTCTCAAAAAGTGTTTCTAGGCATATCTCCCCCTGCCAAAAAAAAAAAAAAAATCAATTTTACAAAGCAAAGCAAATCATATTCTAAAGAACTGCCTTTAGGTTAGCTGATTAAAGCCATCAAGATATCATTCAAACTTGGTCAGAAGCCACCTAAACACCTTTAGAAGCACAAAATCATTATCTCTAAAAGCTAAATGATGAATTAATCAATCTTCTCAATTTAGGCACTCTAAATAAGAATATTTTTTCCTCAAGTACTCTTATATTCAGACATCAGAATAATTTGACAATCCAACAGTATTAAATACAACACTGTTGTCTTTAATTATAACTTCATTTATTTACTTTTTTTATCTCAGATGTGTATTATCTTAAATGAATATATTTAGAAAGCCAAAAAGCAAATAAATGCAAATTATAATTGATTTTAAAAAGTCAACCATGAGGTGCAAAGTGGATTTTTATTGAATTTCCATAAAAATCTGGTTCCAAAGTTAAATATGCAATCTCACAGTGTGTGTGTAAATACCCCCACACACATTTCCAATAAAACTCCACTAATTTATAACAGGCAATTGTAATAAACTAATTGGAATAGTGATGTAACAATATAAACAAAAACTATGTGAAAGTCAAACAATGGGGAAAATTAATCCTTCAGAGCTTCCATTAGTCATCAGAATCATCTTACAATAAGTCTTTCTGATTTATGATAGAGAATTGAACATCTGAAGCAGTTGTACTTCACTCACGTACTTTTAACAATAATCTAGTTTTGTGCTATTTGCACCCCGTCCCCTCCTACAGCTACTATATAACATATATTGTTTTATTAACATATAAATATTCTTAATTAAACGTAAGTTCTAATAATTTTTGGAACACCCTTAAAATAAAACAGAAGATTCTGGCACTAGACCATGCCCTATTAGATGAGAAAAGACTCTCTTAGCGATTTCAAGCTCTTTATTTTTAAAGATATGATGACCACTTTTAACATAAAGTTAATGTCTCAATTTCAAATGTAAGACTGTCTATAAATGTTAGGAAAGCGTACTTTAATTTTTAAGGCAGGACCAACCCTGGAAAAAAGTTAATGTATGTAAGCAAGTGAAAACTTAAGAGTTTAGTACAAAAATAAGTGCTGTCAACTTGGAGCTGGCCATACCTACCAACATCCCTGCTCCAACCCTGATATGGGTGCTCCTTCCCTGGAGTGTTCCATTGAGGTTCCAGCTAGCAGACAGCTCTGCTTCATTCCAAAGTAGGGCAGGCCCACCATTGGATCTCCAAGCCACGTTCTCCAATCAGGAAAGCAGTCTCATGAGACCCACTGCAAACCACAGCCCCATCGCCATGCTGTTCTCTCTCATGACACAACAGCAGAGAAAAGGTGCCCAGGACACCTCTCCTACACTACCTCTTCTTGGGTTCAGCTGCCAATCAATCTATAGTATCGGCAGCTGAACGCTCAGAACCAACCCCAGATCAACTCAAGTCCACTACACTCTGAGCCCACTGAGGACAGGGACCTATTTATTTCTGAACTAATCATTTCCCCCTCTTTATGTACCAAAGTGTCCAAAAGGTGCTTTGTAAAGGAATGTATCAAACTGTGCTGAATCCCAAAAGCTGAAAAACAAAGATAGAGGGGAATGAAAAAGGAGATGTGAGAAGTAGCCAATGTGAAGAGGTAGGGAAGACAACCAAAAGTGAGTATCAAAGTAGAAATGTATACACCTCCTTGTTTGACTCTTCCATGTGGACAGCACTGCAAATCTGCTGTTTCTGTAACAATGGAAAAGGGACAGAACCACTTAGTCTGAGGGCACTTTTAATCTAGCTACAGAGCTTTTCAAGGACACTGTTACATAATTTTAAACTTGATAAAATCAATACATTTCTCTTGCTTTGTGTCCACAACTGGGCTAAATTAGAAAAAAAGGGCAACAATGTGAATGCAGCTTTAAATTTTAAAAATCTCAGGAATTTTCTTAGATTTTGTCAAAACATAAAAAATTACATGAAGCATTAAATATTTTATGTTAAAATGTAAGTGAAAGCTAAAAACTATCACAGTAAGTGTATTAAAATTAAAAATAGCATAAAATAGAAGTTGTAACTTCATTATATATAGATGTATATCATATATGTAGATTTATCACTGGAAGGAAATCACATATTATTAAAGGTAAGAGAAGCATGATAGTAATGAAACAAAAAAAAACTTTTAACGAAAAAAATTTGTTTTTTTGTTAAAAAAAATTTTTAAGATTTTGAGAGAGCGAGTGAGAGAGTGTGAGCACAAGCTGGGGGAGGGGCAGAGGGAGAGGGAGAAGGAGACTTCCCGCTGAGCAGGGAGCCCGATGTGGTGAAGCTCGATCCCAGGACCCTGAGATCATGACCTGAGATGAAGGCAGACGCTTAACTGACTGAGCCACCCAGGTGTCCCTAAAAGAATAAACCTTAAATGATCTTAACACAAAAAGAAATAGTAACTATGTGAGGTGAGGGAGGCGTTAACTAACCTACTGTGATCATCATTTTGCAATATATAAGCATATGAAACCGTCATACTAAATACCTTAAACTTACGCAAATGTTATATACGTCAGTTATATCTCAATAAAGCTGGGGGGGGTAGAATGATGTATATCAAAAGGTGGTCACCATTCTTCTTTACTCTGAATAAATAAGAAGATGAAACTAAGTTACATAATATTTTGGGATGCTTTTATGTTAACTGGAGAGTAGCCTCCTTGAGTAAGGATTTTTTTGAAACTGCATTTATACAAATGATATTTAAGTTTAAAATGCATTTGTTTTAGCTTTAAAATTTTGCTTTTTAATAGGAAACTTATTCTATATTCTATAAATACTAGTGTCCTAAAATAGAACACTAGTCTCTATTATGGAGTAGAGGGAGGCAGGAAGAAGAAACAAACTTTGTTTCAAAGAAAAAAGTAAAAGTGCTCTAAATGTATGGTTCAAATAAATGAATTTTAAAGCATTAAACCTCTGAGTACGGTTACAGACTTTTCACACCATGATATTAAAAGGGAACTTTCAGGGTACCTACGTGGCTCAATTGGTTAAGCATCTGCCTTTGGCTCAGGTCATGGTGCCAGGGTCCTGGAATTGAGCCCCGCATCTGGCTCTCTGCTCAGTGGGGAGCCTGCTTCTCCCTTTCCCTCTGCCTGCTGTTCCCCCTGCTTGGGGACCTGCTCTTTCTTTCTGTCAGATAAATAAAATCTTTTTTAAAAATGTAAAAACAAAACAAACAAAAGAGAACTTTCCTCAATCTATAGTTTAAATTATGGTTAAGTCCAAATACTTCTGTATATTTTTTTATAACTAAGTCACATGAATATCTTTGTATACCTGTAAACATGTTTCTAAACCTAGTATGCTTACTGTACCTATGTACATCTCAAAACTATATACACTTGATATCTATACACGTTTCTCTATACCTACGTACATTTGAATACCTGTATCTTTCTATTCCGATTTCAAGTGAAAACAAGAACAATTTACAATAAAAAATATAACACAATTTTTTTTTTTGTATTTGAAAAAGAATGAGAAATGGAAGCTCTTTTAATGTAAAATTGCCATGGTTGGTTAGTTGAAACAATAGTGGACACATTCCCAATACCAAGATGAATATGGAAAAAAAATAAGTAGCATAATATCATAAAATTTGTAGCTTACTTTGTGCCTTTTCACAGAAGTTTATCTGAAAGCCTAAAGTAAAAGAGATAAGTTCCAGTTCATTGACTGTAAACCAAACAAACCAAAATTAGAACAAGACATTACATTTCTATATTACATTTGAATAAAACCAATTCAAGAACAGTTCAAATCACATAGCCCCCACCATCACAGTGATAATTGTAACATATGGCCTTTCTTTAAAAAGTCAGCTCTCTCTAGGGTAGAAGTACTTTATTAAGAGGAGTTGAAGTCAAGATTAAATTCTAAATTCTGCCATTACCTTAATTTTTCACATCTATTAGATAAATAGGACAGCTACTAGCCCCTGGAAGTCCAGAGTAATTTTTTGATAATCTTGTCAATTTTTTCGATCTACAAATTCAGAACATATTACAGGTTACTTTTATCAACACAAATGAATGACTGAAAACTATTCATGATTAATTGCTATCCGTGATTCAAAATCTTCAAAAGAAGTTCATAGATTGTGAAGCCTAAACACTCAAAGCAACATTTTCTAATCAATTTGCTAACTTCAAGCATAATAAGACAATGAACTACTGAGGAAGAACTGCAATTCTCCTAAAGGAGGCCTGACAAAACTGTGTCCTCCCTAGGAATGAGAAGGCAGAGCAGGACCTTAGAAGTTACAGAAAGAAAACCTGTGAATTCTCCTTGGGAAGTAAACTCATGTCCTAAATCCTGCTGGACCTGGACCTGGTCCTACCTTATGCCTACATTCATACAGGTATAAATTCTTGTAAAATACACCCAGTAAAATAAGCTGTTTATGACAAAACCTTCTCAAAATATGCTCTCACTACTTCAGTTTAATTGGGTGAATGTCTGGTTTTCTTAGTCTACCTACACCTGCGTTTATTAATGCTTTAGGAACTACACGGAGCAACTCGGATCATTCAAACTTGTATTTACACAAATGCAATCAAAACTCAGAAGAAAAGAGCCAGGACTAAAGGGAGGATGTGTTTAAGTAGTCTTTCCCATCCAGTTACCAAAATGCTTAAGATGCTATGATAAAGGGGCACCTGGCTGGCTCAGTGGTTGAGTGTCTGCCTTTGGCTCACGTTATGATCCCAGAGTCCTGGGATCGAGTCCTACATCGGTCTCCCTGCATGGAGCCTGCTTCTCCCTCTGCCTATGTCTCTGCCTCTCTCTGTGTGTCTCTCATGAATAAATAAATAAAATCTTTTTTAAAAAGTAAAAAATGCTAAGATAAAGATCTCACCTATAACGTGCAAAACCTGAAAAATCTTAATGTAGCTTCTTTGCCCAGAAGTGACCTACTGCTCACTATGTAGTCACACAAAAGACATCACAGGAGGGAGTGGGAATGGACACACTTTATGGGCAGAAGTCCTGGGGGCAAACCTGGAGGCAGCCACCCCTAAGCTAAACTTGCTGCCCCATCAGATGCTCGGCAGGAAGACTTCAGAAAGAGAAAAGTCAGAGAGCCAGTAGTCTTAAAGGCCTAAAGCAACTAAAAGCCAGCAAACCTCCTGCTAGGCAAAATGAGGTGAGCACAGGTCCAGGAGCAGAGGAAACCCGTTCTCTGGAAGCAGCGATAATACACAGAGGACACAGGGGAGCTTCAGCCCCGGGTCAGAAGCCTCTCTCCCACTACCCACCACCACCAACCACCACCACCACCACCACCACCCCACACACACACACACACACCCTACTCCCAGGAGAAGGAAGGGAAAACTCCCCTGGACAATTGGGAAGGAAGCAGATGAAACACTGAAACCAGTTTAAGTCAACACTCTTCTTTTTTAGCTCACAGGTTGCTACTAGGTAGCAAATGGTGGGAGGAAGGCAACAGAATAGCAATACAAAGGCGAAAGGAACAAGGAAAATAAACTTACAGGAAAAAGAAGGAGATCTGTCTGCACAATCGTGTAAAAATACATTACAGGATCATTTTAGGAAACAGGAAAAAAAAATGTGTAAAGGCGAATGTAACTGACAATATTAGGAGGTCACCAATTACCGCTCTAACACAGGAGGGGTTAAACTGACTAAGTACAAAATCAATGCAGGTAGCTAAGAAGGGAGGAGGCCAAAATTCTCACAGCAGCATTACAAGACTTGCTCTTTTTATCTAACTATGGGTAAAGTGACCACGTGAACAGATTCTGAGACCTCACACCAACATCCACCTCTGCATCATTTCTTACTCAGAAGACTTGCTAACAGACCCAGAGTGTTCACAGGCAATGACAGCTAAACTAACTCAAACGTAATCTCTCACCTTTGAATTCCATTTAGTGTTATCAATTAAATCAGATAAAAAGGCTATCAGCTAAGTCTTTCTAGACCTCCCCTAGCTCCTTATACTCAAAGGGCAGGGAGGGCCCCAGGGGACCACCAGAGATCTTGTACAGGAACAGAAACAGAGAGGAAAACTTCCAGTACCCTCAGCTTCATACAAAGACCATTTGTGGCTATGCTATAATTAGTCCATTAATATTCGTTCACATATGTTCCATTTCTTAGGTCTCCCCTGTAGCTCAGAAATTCTGGCTGAATTCTGTCTTCTCATCCTCACACTTTAGATACTGCATCTATCTCCAGGAGACTAGGTATCAGTTGAATCTGTTGCTAATAATTAGTGAATTTTTAAAATTAAGATTTAACGCAAATAAACTCACTTGGGGCCAGAAATGAAAAAGATTCAAAATTGAAGCAGAGGATCATATAGAATTTAGTCCCAGGGTACAGATACCCGGATAAAAAAGAGGGAGGCACCTGAAATTTTAAAATCCGTACCTCAATCGTAATAACCCTTAGCTGGCCATGACTCAACCTACCATTACAGTATTGCCAGACAAAGTGAGCTGGTCTATGTTAGTATTGAAGGCTGTTTATGGTGTGCTTAAGAAAATACAAAAACAAAAGGCAGACAGTCTATGAAAGTAAAAAACCAACTGAGAAATGTCAGCCCAGGGCCCTATTTCCAACTGTGAAAGTCAAGTCATTTCAGTTGAACCCCAGTATCCCTAACTATAAAATTAAGACTAGTATCAGGATGGGGCAGCTGCATGGCTCAGTTGGTTAAGTGTCTGACTCTTAATCCCTCCCGGCTCAGGTCTTTTTTTTTTTTTTTTTTTTTTTTTTTATGATAGTCACAGAGAGAGAGAGAGAGAGAGAGAGAGGCAGAGACACAGGCAGAGGGAAAAGCAGGTTCCATGCACCGGGAGCCGATATGGGATTCGATCCTGGGTCTCCAGGATCGCGCCCTGGGCCAAAGGCAGGCGCCAAACTGCTGCGCCACTCAGGGATCCCCCGGCTCAGGTCTTGATCTCAGGATGGTGAGTTCATTCCCTGCATTGGGCTCCAAGAGTGGGGAGGTGGGGAGGGAGGGAGGGAGGGAGGGAGGAAGGAAGGAAGGAAGGAAGGAAGTATGGAAGGAAGGAAGGAAGGAAGGAAGGGAAAGAGAGAAAGAGGAGAGAGAGAGAGAGAGAGAGAGAGAGAGAGAGAGAGAGAGAGAGAGAAAGAAAGAAAGAGAGAGAGAGAAAGAAAAGAGCAGCCCTGGTGGCTCAGCAGTTTAGCGCTGCCTTCAGCCCGAGGTGTGATCCTGGAGACCTGGGATCGAATCCTACATCAGGCTCCCTGCATGGAGCCTGCTTCTCCCTCTGCTCCTATTTATTTATTTATAAATAAATAAAATCTTAAAAAAAAAGGATAATATCAGGTAATCTTATCTTATAATCTGAAAACAGTGTGTCTGCACCTACTTTGCCAGCCTAACAGCTCCTGTGGGTTTTGCATATACCCAGTCCCCTTCTCTGGGTCGATGGTATAACCCAGAGGGTACAGGGCAGGGGCCTAAGTGGTTTCCCACTTCCTCAGCAGCTCCTTCCAATTCCTCGGACATCCTAAGCATGGGTACTGCTGCCAATGGACCACGATGAACTACAGTATGGAGCCACACTAGTGCAAAGAAAATCAGAGCTGCCTTACTGGGTCAGGCCCATAGAGCAAGCTACCAAGTCTAGACACAAGCATGAAGAGTCTAGTTGTTTGCTGCCTCCCAAGTTCAACCTCAAAATTGTGGCAAGTGGCCTCAACTGCAAAGTTACTCAGAGTACATCATTATGGCTCTAACATCTAAAGATTTATCTTGGCTTGCCCAAAATTTGTGTGTGCATTGTACTTAGAGTGGTTTCCACTCCTGCTGTGTTTCCTTTCACTTTCCTTGCTTCACCATTCTCAAACTTAAAAGGGAGCCACTTAAATTGAGTTAATCACAGCTTGTTTGCATCATCCAAAACCATTTGTGATTTGATAAATACAGATCAAATCCTTTCCATAGTTGTTTTTAACTTGAGATCTTGTCAGTCCTCATAAGTCATTTCTTTTTCCTGCCTGTGGCCAATGACCACCTCATTTACTCGTTGGCTCTATAACTAAATGCTATATATTATCATCTCCAGCCTGTTTGGGGGAAGCCCAAGTACATCCAGGGAGTGCAGCTGATTAACTCTGTGACTGTGGGCAAGTATCCAACCTCTATGAGCAGCGTTTTCTCATCTATAAAACAGAACAGCAATACTCAAAAGTGCTTTGTGACAATTAAAATATCTAAAATGTCCAACATAGAGCCTGGAATGATGCAGGTTGTTATTACCACAGTGATTATTGCTGGTCTCTCCGTCAGGTGAGCAATGATTGTGGCACCTTCCCCATCAGACCAGCTTCCCCTACACAAAACCAGTCTCTCTCCTTTCATTCCACGTCACCCTGAGAGAGGTAAAAGGGAAGGACTCCAGACAGCATGGGGATCCCCACTTCAGGCTCTACATTCCACCACAGCCCTTCCCAGACATAACCTAGTGTCCCGGTGTCCAAGAAGGTGGATACTTTCCCTGGGAGGAACCTAACCCAGATTTCAGGGATACCGGCAAACATCAGGGGAGCCAATTAATATCACTTCTTAGTAAAGTCAGACAATGAATGCGTATCAGATATAACTGGTAACTTTTCTTGTTTCTCCCTTTTATAAATTT